CTCACAGGAACAATAGTGATTGTCCCAATTTCTTCCCCTAGAGTTTATCTCCTTGGGTTGCAGACGGCTCACAAAACATACAACAATAATCATGCCATGCCTATGGGCACCTTTACAAAACTATTCACCATACTAGTCTTCGCTATAGTTAAAGGAAATGAATGAAAGAAGATTTTAAGGGAACGTGTAAGCTTTGTTCACCTGAACCCCAAATAACAGGCACCTTGAGATGTCAGTATGCATATTCTGTTTATTTGTAGCACAGTCTGGAACACTCTAGATCAGGGGTAGAAAACCTCCGGCCCTCCAGCTGTGGTGAAACTACAAATCCCATGGTGCATCACTCTTCGGGAGTCATGTCTGTGGCTGTGAGAATCTTGCATTGCCTCATGAGATTTGTAGTTCCACCACAGCTGGAGGGCCGGAGGTTTGCTACCCCTGCTCAAGATGCAACGTGCGTTATTAGGCAAATCTCAACCGCAGCTTTTTCCTGAACCTGCACCACCCTATTGGATGGATAGTCTCGTTGGTCAAAAGGTGGGCTCAGTACTGGAAGTTGCCAAGATATGGTGTGACCATGTAAAACTCAATATGATTTGTATAGCAGATCGCACTGAGTTTTGGGGTTTCTAAAACATAGACAAAAAGTAAATATGTGACTTCCTGAAGTTTTTCCATCTCCTCTATGGTTCTTCCACCACCCTTAGTCTGTCCTCAACTTTCCTTTAATCGTAAGCAAACTTGTAAAAAATAGCACTAAATTAACCAATGTACAGGAGGCCCCAACAGTAGAGTAAATGTTGGCATCTAAACATTTTGCACCTCTGTTACTAAAGAAGGCCTCCAGAACACCATTATAATGTGAAGTAGCAGACCGGAGGAATGCTAAATATAGTATTAATCCAAAAAACACAACTAAGTGATGCTAAAACAGCAATGTTGACACCTGGAAAAAAGTAGATTTCATCATTTATATCATCTCATGTAACCATGGCATAGGTCAAGTTTCTGCTGCTGATGCAGAGGAGCTTAAGTGATACATTAAAGTTCCCCTCTGCGAACAAGCTACTTGATCTCGGCTATGCCTCACCTATGTTTATGGCATGATTACACTGCTCTCCACCCCACATTTTCCCACACATTTCCCAAAGCACGGCAACACTCAACTTGAAGAATCTTGTTGATGAATTATACAAAAATTAACATTATGCGATCAAACATGTTGTAGTAATTAAAAGTTAATTTCATATTTCTCAGGATTCCTATGTAATAGTCATAATGAAACTATACTGTATATATGTGTTGAGCTTGGAGGGGTCTACCATAAATCACCAAAATGTTTTTCGGGAAGCAAAACTTTTGACACATTTTGTTTTCTAGTGTATTTAGTTTGAAAGGTTTGGTATGATCATTTTTTTTTATTGATTGTTGTCAACGGCAAAAGGTAACCCATAATTGCACAAAAGTTTCAGGCAGGCAGTTCCTTGAGGTCCACCTGTCAGTTTTCTAAGCAGATCTTATCAGAAGGCCAATAAACGCATATGATTCCATTTACATCTGATTACTCCCCCCACCGCCATCGACTCAGTCTAGGTCCGGAACAAAAAAACAGAACAGAATTCCATTTTGGCAGTCCCGATTGTGACAAATTGGGGGTAATCTGATGTAAACGGACACATGCACTCTTACAGCTGACTACCCATAGAATTAGGCTTGGTTCACACAGAGGCGATTGCGGTTGTTGAGCTGTTTTCGTGCATTGGTAAAGCAATTTTTTTTGTGCAATTTTGCTTTTAAAAACGCACAGTTTTCAATGCATAGGCATGTCTAGGGGACCAAAACCATGCGATATCTGCCTGAAAATAAAAACAACATCCGCCTGAAAAACATGGGGTCAGTAGAGCCCAGTTTTTTTCCTTCATCGTATATTTTTGCACGACAGGCGATATCGCACGTGACGCTACGCTTGGGTGTTTACTGTCGCCAATGACTTGTATGGGTTTTTGTGTTTTTTTGCGTTATCGCACGACTGCATCCGCATGATAAAGTGTGAACTAGGCCTTAACGTGGGACCGCAGAGTCCAGTTTGTTCCTCCATCGTAAGTGAACGGAAACGGATGTCAGAAGAGTGTGCAAATCCCCTGCTGATTGGAACTGACAGCACCTGTGTGAAAGGGACCTTAAATTTAACAAACTGTATCAATTCCATTGGATAGCTGTTCAAAATGAATTGGAATCCAAACACCAGTGGATACCCAAGTATCGACAAATATAGCAAACAGCAATTAATCTGTTACAAATCACTGCCTACATCTGAGGTCTGCAACATGTGGGCCCTTTTCACATTCTAAAAAGAAATCTCCATTATGGAAAAGATAAGAAAATGCATCAAAGGAAAACAACAATAAAAGGCAACTAATAATGCAATATCGTTTTACTTCATCATAATCATTATTTTTATACAAAAAGTGACTTTATTGAGCATAAAAATGATTGTGAAAATAATTACAGCCACCCAGGCAGAATCCAGGCAAAGTAAATGGTACATATGAATCATCTTTAAATTTCAAAGCATAAATCACACATTATGGTGGGAGATTTTCAAAGGTGTCATAAAATACAGGCAGCTGTGATAAATCAGTGTGACATATAGTATAATAAAGGATGCAGATTTCATGCTGCCAGCAATATTCTGAGTAGGGTGTTTTAAAGCCAACATAAAATATATGTCCATATAACGAGATAGAGGCAGTTTAATGTCAGCACGAGGCCCCAGCAGGACTTCTCTTCTCTAAACCATCAAAATAATTTTATTTTAATATGTAAATATCAAACCTATCGCATCTCTGCAGCAGTCTTGTTCCAGTGCCACTGCACATGCGCAGAGCACCAGTTCAGTTCTGTTAAACAATTTCCCCGGAGTTTCTTCTTTAAAGGAGGCAGCAACTCTATCTGTTTCAATAACCCATAGTGCTCTGCGAAACCTTTATTATGTACTGAATGTTCTTTTGTAAAACAAAGATTGTAAACAGATAGTAAGGAACCAGATAGAAAACATCAGTTTAAAAGCATATCCCTAAAAAATACTGACCCAAAACTTCGAGTTTTCCAGTAAAAAAAAAAAAAAAGGGGATTACAAAAGGCCTATTTATAAAGACTACCACATTATTATTTCATTTTTATTTCTTCACAATTCACCACCTTTTTTTTCTTTCTCAATTTCTAAAAAGTTTAAAATGGAAAGTAGTAGAAAAGAAGTGGTGAAAGCATAGGAGCGTTGTGTGCTTAGGTGCTATGTGTTAGGCAAACTATTCTTTCTGATTGCACTGACAACGACCACAAAAACACAAAAAAGTAGGTTTGAGCAATTTCTTTTAGCACAATGCAACACCCAAAGCAAAGGAACCTGTACGTTGTTGAACACTAGAACGCAGGTGAGTTGCAGAGAACTGTAGACGAGTGTTGGGGTTCAATTTACATTAAGGGACTGTTCACATGATATCAGGTCCTGATCAGGTTGCGGATCTGCAGACGCGAAGCTACTGATGCAGTGCGTTTTTGCCACGTATTTTCCGTGTTTTTGATGCGTTCCAGTTTTTTTGTCTGTTAGCTGCAGTGCAGTGCGTTTTTGACGCGTTTTGTGTTTCCGGTCTGTTTCCTGACCGGACAAAATGTGACATGCAGTATTTTTTCTGTCGTAACCTGAACGGACTGCGCACGTGAGAACTGTAGCCCATAAAACACATAGGGATACATTGGGATGCATTTTTTGTGCAGGAGCGTACGGATCAGGTCAGCACAGAAAACGGACGCCGTGTGAACAGGCCCTGAATGGCAATGCACTGCAACAAACCTCTAACTGCACCGCTTTACCCTGTGTTGCAATAATACATTATCACACGTGTCATGGCGTGCGTTATAATGTGTTTTGCAGTGTGAAGAAGCCCTTTTGCAAATGCTAGGTCGCTTGGACCTGAGCCCTCACTCAACTGACTATAAGATAGAGCAGGGGTGCCCACAAGGTCGATCGCGATGTCCTCTCCTCCCGCCGCTTCTCTGGATCCCCGCTGCTCACCCCACCCCAGCGGGGATCCGAGAAGAAGTGAAGGTGGTGGGGGAGGGCGGAGCCGCTGTCACAGAACTTAAGTAGATCTCCAGACGAAAAATAGTGGGCGCCCCTGAGCTAGAGTGATCCACTTTGGAGACCTGCAGCCAATGCCAAATCAGCGTTAACTATGCCTAAATTAGTTATATCACAAAGTGGTGCAACCCCTCCCGCCCAAAACTCTTTAACAGAATTTGTGGAACACTAAAAGCAGCCATAACATGACCATTTATAAAGATTAAAAAGAATAAAAAATTTACTTAAGAGGTAGGCTGCTTAGTGATCTATAGCACTCAATTTAAAGGACACTAGCCGAAATTGTCTTTTTTGTAGTTCCTAATAAAGTGAGGTAAGGCAAGATCCTCGATCAGTTTTTACTGTTCTCCGAGTCTTTCCTTCCCTTCCTGCCCTGATGACCACCAGGCTATGGCCATATGCTGCACTTCATGTTTTCCTCTCTCTGGGGTGAATTCTCTATAGAGTTCTGTGCATGATCCTCCAGGAAGGAAGTCTGACAGTGTCACCACCCTTGTAAATTTTGCAAAAGGAATATGTGGAGAATGCACTTCAGGAAATAAAGAACTGAGAAGTCTCCCTAAAGGGGACACAGACTGCAATAAAACTATGCACAGAATCCTAGCTCTATATATATTAACCTCTATAAGTATCTTTGATAGGACCTCCCCGAAGAATCCGTGTGTCTAATGCCTCCCTACGGAATCCCTTTATATTATCTTATATGCATTAGTTCTCAAAGCCCCCAATGACTTGGCAAAAATCACTCTGAAAATCTGTGCAGAGGACATAAAAAAAAACACCTAGTCACACTTTTAGTTCTGGTCTGTGTATATCTAACAAGCAATCCCAGGATGGTGCCACCATCAGTGCTACTCACCCAAACACCGGTATGGGACCACAATATGAACGTGGCTCTTGCACTGCTTACGCCCTTTCTTGCACCAGTTCTGAATGGTGACGGGCTGGTTGGCTTCTACCACATTGGTTATCTGTAACTCTGGGTATACCTAGAAGAGAAAGATGAAAGGAGAATTAGGCAACCAAGGTAATAATATAACCTCAACTCAAAATGGGAACAGAGAAAAATACCAATATTATTAGGCAGTGTGACCAAATATTCCTAAAATATATAGCGCCAAAACTTATTTTATTTAGCGTTGTATAGAGAAAGGTTAAAACCTGTCAGGATTTTTTTATGTCTTTGTCCCTTTATCTTTGTGGAGAATTACCTCCACTTCCTATGCTATAGATACAACAGGAAGAGGAAATCTCTCCAAAATAAGGCAAAACCTCTCTTGAAAGTTGTCACCAAAGTGCATCTCCCCATTGAAAATGTCCCCTCTATTTCTGTTCTGATGACAGCTAAATAATTTTGAACACATTCAGTCCAGGCGACATGGGTCAGGAGGACACAGGAAGTACTGTATTAATCTCCCCATATTATCACAAACATAAAAAAAAAAAAAACTTTTGTCTTTAGATGCACTTTAATCAGTGATAGGACATGGTGGCTAACTAATAAATACCATTTATTGTACTCTGGTCCTTTAAGACTTTGTACAGACCACTGGGCATGTCTGTGGTTTGGCACATTCGCTGTGTTACACTACAAAGCCACCAACATGTACACATTTAACCACAAACATAGGTGGACAAATTAATTCTCTTTTAACTCTAAAACAAGATCTGTCACCATTGTCAGCATTTATCAACACTGTAGAGCAACTTCCTTTCTTGCATGGACTGCTTGCTGTGTTGAAACCTGTATTAAAGTTCTCAGTAGAGGAAGAGGCTAATGATAGCAAATGAAATAAAAACTAGTAAAAATGCATCTGACTGGTAAAAAAGACCAGGCCAAGAGTTGACAAGTCATTGACACGTGTTCATGTTTTTATTCCCATGATATGAGGGGTCTTGCATGTCTTTTAGGAGGCCTCTTGAGACTTGCTTGCATCAAGATGCACTCTGGCTGTTTCACGAAGAACATAGCAAAATTCTCTAATAGGATATGATCTATTGAGTTGCATTGTACTGTACTCAGCAAAACAGCCAAATGCAAATGCACACAGAGACACTATTTCTTCTAGGGTCCGATAAAGCCTATTAAACAGCAGGTGGGCGTGGGTGCTCAGAGTGCAGCTAGTCGTTCTCACCATTATTTTCTAATTGCACCCAGGTCGCACCGGGCAGATCACTAAAAAAGCGTATTTGTACCTTTTTTTAGCGATCGCTGCGCGGATGTCACCCCATTGAAATCAATGGGGCCGTGCAGCAATCACTGTGTGCACACGATAGCGTGTCCTGGCTGTTGCCGGGGTGTGAACCTAGCCTCAAACAATGCTTAGCAGTTCGTGTAAATACATAGATGACATGAAGCGATGCCTGGAACAAAAGCTGTATCTTTAACACTGATATATGAGTACATACCAATATTATAAAGAGACCTGCCAAAGTTTCCTTTCATACTACAAATGTGATCAGAATTCAACACAAATTCTGGTGTCAGAACTCAATAAGGACCTTGACGTCCCAGAAAAATCGTTATAATGAAAAGATGATTGAGGAGGACTGAACATGTACTAAGCCATAACATACAATTGTGTAAAAAAAAAAAAGAAAGTACACCCCCTTTGATTTTTATGGTTTTAAGTATCAGGACATCGCAAAAATCATCTGGTTCTTAGCAGGTCTTAAAATGAGATAACTACAACCTCAGATGAACAACAACATATTACCCCGTGCCATTATTTATTTGATAAACAAAACCAAAATGGAGAAGCCAAACTAAGTACACCTTATGATTTAATAGCCTGTAGAACCACCTTTAGCAGCAATAAAGTGAAGTAATCGCATTCTGTATTGCTTTATCAGTCTCTCACATCGTTGAAAAGGAATTGTGGCCCACTCTTATCTCAACGTTTCTTCCGTTCATTGAGGTTTGTGGGCATTTGGTTATGCAGAATATTGCCTCTCTGGCATATTGGTGAAAGAAGGTTGTGATTAATAAGGCTCATTTGTATTCTGCCTTATCCACACTAACGGTGTGAAATGGGATAACAGTTTTTCTCTTGTTCAGCCCACAGGGTGGAAAGAGAAAAAAAAATAAAAAATGTTGTGTAATGCCATCTTAAAAGGAACCTTTACCCCCTTGGACTAAAAATCACATAAGCATACAGCTCTGCAGCATATAGCTCTGATATGAAATCATCTTACATTCATTAGCTAAACAAACACATTTTAATTTTACGTTCAATTTATTTTTTTCCACTTCCTGGTACACTTTGGAACAAATGATGTAATTGTGCACAAGCATTGCATCCTGAGAAGGTTACATCAGCAGAGCATTGCAGGGAAATCTCCTCTGTAATCTCATGAGATCTCTGGTAAAAGGCATTTTTGTCCCCCGAGAGGATGTGCATGGTCACATGTCCTAGCCCACGGATGTCCAAACTCCGGCCCTCCAGCTGTTGTGAAACTACAAATCCCATGATGTCTCTCCCTACGGGAGTCATGTCTGTGAGAATCTTGCAATGGCTCATGGGATTTGCAGTTCCACCACAGCTGGAGGGCTGGAGTTTGGACATCCCTGTCCTACATGTGCCGGAGTTCCAGGAAGTAAAGGGAGATCTAGTAACCTGATATATAAATAAGTCCAAAAAATGTATAAAATAATATAAAAATACTGGAGGTTGCACTAAACAAAGCAGCATTGCAAACATTTAGCTAGTTTCTTAGACACAATTTTTTGCAGACATAAAGGTTTTCTGCGATCTGCCGAGTAAATCGAATTTGTTTGCTGCAGCCTGGGAAATGAAACTTGGAGAGAAAAAGAAAAGGATGCAATATTTGTATTAACAAACTTATCAGAAATGCTATGTTTATTTTAAATTTGCAGAATAAAGGAAACTGATGATATTTATGCTGTTCTTTGAATCAGGATCTGTGGCTGGCTAGCAGCCAAAACAGCCCTATAGGTTTGTCAGCAATTTTTTTTTTTTTTGGGACCGAAGTTTCATAATTTATTGTAGAAGAACTCCTCTCAGCTAGATTTGCTTTGATAATGGTTACAAAACCTAACCCGATTTTATACTGCAAAAAGAAAAAAATCCTGTCAAACAAAAAGCATTATGTCCTTAAAGTGCAAGTCTGAGCAAAAAAACAAAACAAAACATATTCAGCACATCTCAACACTGCATGTTTCCTCGTGCTTTGACCCTTCCATGAATACAGAAATATACCTGTTAATCTGGCAGAAATCCGGTGAGTTACTAACTTCCTGTGGTGGGTCGACAACTGCCTCTGCTGTACTGGGATCCCAAGCAGTGTTAGTAGACCTGCCTGAGATCTACCCAGCTGGACTACAGAACACCTCCCCTTCTCCTTATTGCCATAACCCCCGCATTTATAGTCTACGTACCCCCTCCTTTGTACTCAGAACGTAAACGAGTAGGGGTTCTAGAAATGGGGAAGCCTGCAATAATTGCCATGCAACACGGCTTGGGCCTGAGTGGCCTGATTACTAGGCGCAAACACTATCACATGTGGGAAATCAGGTGGTGATGTTACCCATACCGCCCAATGTTCTGAGATGAGCAGAAGAGAGACCTGCCAGCACAATGGAGTAGTTCCCATGACTGCTAATCAGCTTCTTTCATTTTCAAAGCTCAACTTTACAAACTAAAGAGAGCTGCTGACTGGTTATTATGGACAGCTGCTCCAGGTTCTGTCCAGTTTTGATAAATTCCCCTTAATGTATTTAATCACTGCGATACTGGGAGGTGCCTTGGTGTGCCATTGAGACTGAATGGCAACGCACCAGTGCACCAAAAGTGAGATACCTTCCACTGTGCAATAGTCTCATGCTCTTAGCACACTACTATCGCGTGAATGGGCTTTTAAACATCACTGAAATGTCAAACTGACATTTCATTCACATATATCACGTCTGCATTTTCTGCAATGCAGTGCAACTGACCTTAAGTCCGTCTTACAGCGTGAGCAAGGCACATAGGAAATGATGGTCTTTTATGTGCCCTTGGGTTGATCCGGAGAGGAAAATGCCCTTCGCTTCACATGCATTGCATTCAGGCACACCATTCATTTGAATGGGCTGCATGGACACCACAATAAAAGAAAATCAGAAATGCACCATTGCCATGTGCTGGTGTAACATGTGAATCACACACGTGTGTGAATGGGCCCTAAGGGTTTATATTACTGTGCAACTATATACAATTGTTGGTCTATGTCAGGGGTGCCCATTAGGTAGATCATGATCTACCAGTACCTCTCAAAGCTGATGCTGGTAGTTCACGAAGGGTGTGAATGGTGGCCCCTTTAGGCTGGGTTCACACCTAGGCATATCGAATATGCGCGTCTGTCGCGGGTTTTTACCACGATTCGCAGTAAAAAAACGTGCGACGAACGCGCGTTTCCGAGGGCTACCTGGCTGTATCCCAATGGATACGTGCGGTAATATGCCCCAAAGAAGCTCCTGTACTTCTTTGGACGTAGGGCGTTTTGTAGCGCGTTCATACGGCCTGTAATACGCCCAGGTGTGAACCATACCCATAGGAAATAATGGAATTTCGGTGTTTGAGCGTTTTGCAGAGCGTAGGAACCCGCTACAAAACGCCCAGGTGTGAACCGGGCCTTATTCCATTTTGGTATATTTATTTAGCTGTGCACACATGATTACCTATTAGCCTGAGTCTGCTGAGCCGAGCTCCCTGACACCTTTCTGGTGGATACTGGTGGTTGAAGTGCTATGTATTCCATCAAAGAATATTAGTTTACACAGCCTGTTGCACTACACTGTTTGCAAAATACAGCAAGGTGAGCCAGGAGAGAGAGAGCGGGGAGAGACAGCCAGGAAAGAGAGAGAGGAGAGACAGCCAGGGGAGAGAGCAAGGAGAGAAAATGAGGAATGAAAGCCAGGAAAGAGAGAGCACGAAGAGACAGCCAGGAGGATGAGCATGGAGAGACGGCCAGGAGGATGAGCATGGAG